GACAAATAATTCTGCAAATGTTTCACATCTTAATACGAAAACTCTTTTTTAAATTTGTGAATTCAAGCAATTTCTTGAACTTTTGCTGAAGAGGGAAAGTCTTCAGGTATGTCTTTGGGATTTCAACGAAAATGATATGGGTTTATCAAGTTAAGTATGCTAATCTTAAATACAGCAAAATTACTGGTCTGATACTGCTCCGATAAAAAAAAGTTGCAGAAAAATATCTTTTGACTAAGAACCTGAGCAGTGTTTTATCCAGACGGGTGCCCGGGGAGGCCGCGCCCCCCCGAAACTTGCGATCATCGTACTAAAAACACGTGGCTTGCTCTCCCGAAAATAATTTTTCGCCCCCCCGAAATTCCAAATCGCCCCTCCGGAGAAAAAATCCTGGATAAAACACTGAACCTGAGGGCATCATAGATGAATTTTTTCGATGAAAAAACAGTTCGTAAAAAAATCTCAAACATTGACAAGTCGACTCAGTTTTTGGTTCTGATTCCAAAACTGTTATTGGTTTTGACACATGGCGTACTCTTCTGACCGAAATCTCCTGAGGGTGTGGGTCATCTTAGCTTAACTCGCACTTCACAACCACACCCAGCAACTAATACATATGAATTATTACTCAATTTATGTATAACTGTTTCTTGCCTAATATTAATTTCTGGGCATGATTGTGGATGAGAGGAACACTCACATTCACACCCAGATCCACACCCACATCCTTCGATAGCTACTGTCTATGGCTTCAGAATCGACAATAATTCACCGTGAACTCTCTCATTCACACATTCCTTGCGAAATAAAAATGCGATATTCTATTTGAAGACGTGCGATTGAGACAGATATGATTGATAATACTGGATAAAAACTCAGAAATCAATACTAAGATATCAGTGGCGAATTTAGGGGAAGGGGGCGCTTGGGGCGATCGCCCCCATTCGAAAAAAAAATTTTCGATTTTTCCCAGCAGAAAAGACTTAAAAATAGAGTGCATGCTACTACTAATGAACTTCAAAACTCGATTTTTGGTCAAAATCGCCCCATATCTATCAAATCGCCCCTTATCAAAAAAATCCTAGATCCGCCGCTGTAAGATATATTTCTAAAACCGATAGTCTTGTGAAGCAATAGGACGATTCGTTTTATGATTCCCTTAAAGTAAGCTACTTCAAAAGCAAAAGAAAAGCACAAGAAAGATTTTTGTTTGACTCATACATTATTTGATAGAGCTCATCAAGCTAGTCGATAGTCACCTTTTCATCTTTTCTTGATTATGTATGCCCTCAACAAAAAGTCTCCAAAATACAAATAGCAACAGATAACAAGAATTTTGAAACTCAGCAGGAGATACGAATTTTCGCCGTTTTACTCTTACTCGACCTTTCTGAAACAATTTTATTCGGATTCAGCATCTTCAAGCGAATATATCCATGTAATTTTGACAATATTTCTTCCTTCTTGTCTCTCTCAGTAAGATGCATTACGTTGCCATACGAATGCTGTGACGCCATCATCGCCCGAATGCATCAACTCCTTTAGACTAAGAGCTTTCCTCGATATTCGAATAAGTGCCCCATATGAAACAAATCAACCTACTACTATTGCATATAGAAACAACACTACTAGCAGCCGTTTGAATCGTTCATGGTATTGCAAATTTGTATGTTTCAAATCGATCGATACTTTTTCTAGTTGATATCTCATGGAGGTTGATCTGAAACGCTCCATGTTTTTGACTACTTCGCAGCCTCCCCGTTGCAGAAATATCGGGCGAATATTTTCGTACTCAATTCACAATTACATTTCTGCTGAATCATTCTCATATGATTGGGTAAGAAAGTCAGCAAGGATTCTTTAGAGTAAAAAATTAATAAGAAGGGTGTGGTTGTGGATGTGAGTGTGGGTGTGTAAATAAAGTACTCTGACCTACACCCACATCCATACCCAACTCACACCCACACCCACACACACCCACACCCCACACCCTAACATATTATTCTTCCTTGATGTTCGATAACATTTAGTCTTCTTTTATGTTCTCTTTGATTTACAATTAGTTCGGATACGAACGGTATCAATTGGTCGAATCTTTTCGGCAACGAAAAAGAATAACGTGACTGTGAATTCATTACTACCTTCACTGTCGCTCTCTCTGCTTGACAACTTATCAGAAATTTTCTCTCAATGTCTGTTGTTTGAGAAAGTGTTGCCTCATTTGATCTATTCACTTCATTTTTTCTTTACATTTTTGTGAACAATTTTTATGCGTTGTAGTGTCAAACTCGTTCTATTCAAACAAGAAAATAGATTGAATAACAACTGATTAGGGCAAAATTTCATTTTTTTTGTTATAAACTCCATACTATGAGATGCCTGATTACAGAATCCTGAGTGTGTGATCTAGAAATTTTGTTGTAATCAGATGATTTCATCTGCATTCAAATGTAGTTCTTGACTGACTACGATATATTCACTTTAAAGAATTGTCACTTTTTGAGGTATTTGATCATGCTTTAGTTTATTTTGATATACATAGATAACTGTGAAGAAAGAAAGGAAACTATTGATGCATAGCATTAAGCAGAAGAGGATATTACAAGTGATATGAAAGAGGAATCTAATTTATAGGAGACAAGCAAGCAGTAATCAAGCATGTGATTATCTATCGATAAAATAAGAGAATGAAGCTGTCAAATGATCCGATTATTCAGAATCTAAAAGAAAATTGATGCATTCGAAGTTCCATGTCCTCAATATCAGCGGAGATGACGATTAACAGTTAGTGACGGCAAAGCTTCGGATCGTTTGAGAAGAAGTCTTCGACCAATCAGGACAAGAGAAACCGACTTGATTACTGCAACCACTGCCACTGTAGAAGCGAATGCAGCAATTTTCGAAGAAGCCACGATCCCATGAGAATCGCTGACCAGCACCATGATACTTATTCGTACAGCCTCGATTCGATTTGCCGTCGTACACTGTTCCACCGAGAGTCAATGTCCAACTTTGAACCAAAGTCATGCAAAGAGCAATGATGAGAAAAATAACCCACGTCTTCATTGATGGAAGATCAAAACCTTTCTTGAGATGTTGCTGAGGGGTTCAAGGTTTGAATGCGAAGTACAAGATATTCAGCCAACAATCTTCTTTTTGTGAGATAGTCAGTGCCGATTGCGATCGATTCAAGTGCTTTTATATTGTCCGCATTTACTCTATCCTCTCTTATTCATATATGCACTCGTAATAATGTAAGTTCTGTTTCTTCTACTATAAATCAAGCAGCAATCGAATCTATTGATATTTGCGATATAGCTTGTAAAATACTTCAGAATAGATCTATTGCGAAGAAAATATGCACAAAACGCATAACTGCTAATCTTGTAATCGAAGGCAAACAGAAACTATTTGCTTATCTCAATCGTGCAACATTATCGACCAATAGTCAAATATGCCTCCTCCCCGATCTATTTCGAGTGTAACCAAACTCGTTGATTTGCACGCGATCGTTGATGTACAAAAATTAAAATGGTGTGGGATGTGGGTGCGGATGTAAGTGTAGGTGTGAGTGTGAATGTGGGTGTAGGTTGTAGGTGTTTCGTCAATTCACTCGGGCACTCACACCTAAACACTCACACGCGCATCGACGCACGTCCAAACACCTACACCCACACTCACATCCCATACCCGTACCTACACCCACACCCACCCACAAGACAATTATCTAAATAAAATTTCTTGTTAAAATATTTATTTAACCTATATGACTATTACAAGGCCAAGTCTATTTTGAATAATTATTTCCATTCTATTATTTCACTGACATTTGATAGACAAGTTGATTCACAACTTGCATTGATCTACTCTTCCAACATGATGGCACTGTACGAATACAATATTGTTCATCATCCATCGATGAACAATCTAAATACATTAATTATTGAATTGAAATTATTCAATGAAAATTTCATCTATCTGCAATTCCATCACATCGTCATTTGGAATTAATACGACGATCACATGAACATCAAAATTGTCCATTACCACATCATATTGATAGACAATTAAGTTCTACAAAAATTTATTCTTTACAAACAAATATTTTTATTAACTAACCATTCGCATTATCACCACAATCTAATAAACGAATACTTAACATTTTCACCATCACATTTCCATGCTAAACAAAATAGAAATATAACAAACTTTCGTTCACACACACACGCACATATGCTCAGTAGGACGAGTCATCTTTCTCAGAGCGGAAGCAGACACACAAACTGAACACCATAAATTCTCAATTATTCAACATACCATTCGTAATACTTCTTACAGATGTATGAGGACAAGGAAATTGTATTAATGGATGACATACTCTTTCGAAAAGAAAAATCAATTTTTTTTTATTTAATAAAATTTGAAATTTTTCTATTATCATGACAATTTTGTTCATTACTTCAATGACCACAATCATTTTTCTATAAGAATTTATCTTAACAAAAAAGCAAAAATAATTCCTTTATTCATCATTTAGTAATAGACTTCTCCTCTTCTGCAACGAGATTGATTTTCTGAACAAGTTTGACTTTTAAAAAAATAATTATTTCTTTCTATAATCAATTTATTCATCTTACTGGAATTAGATTCATCTGAACGACCTTGACTATGTGCATAACCATCACAAACAAATTATTTATTTATACAAACATCAGTACTTCAAAATTGAAATTCATTTATGAAAACATGTTGGTGTGAACAGATAAATAAATAAAAAAGAACATTATCTTCTTTACCTGAACAATTTTCTTCATCATTATTTTAATGAAAATCATCATCTAATTAAAAATAAAAACAAAAAAATCTTTTTATTTCAATGATTAACCTTCATGACATTTATAACTTATTGATATACATCGACAATTTCGATATTGAAAATGTCCATTACATGTTTATTGATTTGCTTCTCTTTGAGAATTTTCATTAGTTATTGGATTTATTTATCGATCATAACGACAAGCACATATTCGTGTTAAAACACCTTGTTCACCTTTTGAAAAACGAAAGTCTTTCTCATTCTCTATTATTTGTTCGACATGGATGTATAACTAAAATAAACAATAATAGAAATTTCATTATTTATATTTCCTATAAAGTGGTTCAGATGATTCTGAAAAAACTCGAATTATTGTAATCGATGGAATATTCGATCGAATAGACACTATATATAAATTAAAATTAATTTGAATATTTCTTTTATCTATATGTTTTACTACTTGAAGAATACACTTCCTAATGGTGCAACAGTGAAATAAAGACGAATTAGAAGAGATATTAAATCAAAATTTATCTTTTAATTAATTAGTTTTCTTAGATCCATAAATTGAAATTCTAAATGGATGTTAAATTGATCGATCTCGTAATGATTGAATATATCTCTCATTATAATCCGAATATTGAATACGAGAAAGTGTACCATCAGTCCAGTAAAGACGTTTTCTTCAATAATCACAGTTAAATGATATGATGTACCCAATTTGTTTGAAACAATTATATTAGAATTTGTTCCATCAGATAACATACAATAGATTTTTGCTGGACGTCGAATTGTTGAATAAAATACATATCAATATCAAATAACCATGAAAATGAATTGTCTGAAAACAGATACCCAGTATTTAGGTGAGGATTATCTTTATGGCTGAACGTTCCGGTTGTTCGGTACTTTAATAGCATTCATTATCAGTGGTCTTCTTCATGAACATATTTGTTTTTGTTGTCTTCGATGAGCCTAAATTGGCTCTGCCCACATTCGTCTGTTTCTTTCTAAACAGTACTGTTTGTTGCATAGAAGCACATCTTGTGATTCAGTTACCACCACTACTCGGAGGATTAATGACACATTGTGTCTTTTTTTTGCAACAGCATCAATTTGTCTTGGACCGTTCGCACGGGACACATCTCTATGTTTTGGTCTGGATGCAAGGTCATCGTACAGCGATGAATAGATTTCAAAATTGCTCATGATCAAGAGTTACCTGATATGCACAACAACATGAAAAATGTGCATATTGTACTAATATGTTCTACGATGAGCAATATTAAATAAATAAAGGACAAGAATTTTTTTTTGCAAATTTGCAGTGAACTAAAGCGCGTGAAGGAAAATTGTCCAATATCGACGTCAAAGAGGAAAGAATTGATTTGAATTGTATTTCCATGCTATAATCCGAATAATCATGTTTTTCTTTGCATAAGTATAGTTCAAGAGAAAACAGCTGACTCTGAAGCATTATAGTCTATTGAGATCGATCAGTTCTTATTCAAATCCGACAAATCTCACCGATTAATCGAATAAAACAGTCGAATCAACTGATATGTGGAACAGACACGCTGGGCTCAAATCATAAGAAGTTGAGATAGAAGAAGATACTCACTTAAGAAAATGTTTCACCTTCTTCGCATCATTTCTCGGCTTGTATGCAATTGATTACCATTATCGTTATTGAAATAAATCTAATATGAATAAGTAGAACATTATGAAATTCTTTAAAATTCTAATGTAATGTATATATATATCACGACGTGCAACTCAAATTAAATTTGTTTCAACAACTCATGTAAAGAAAAAACAAGACTTTCTTTCTCTTTTGAATTTATTCAGTCGTACGTCGTGATATATATACATGAGATTAAAATTAAGAAAGAAAATTCCATAATGTTCTACTTCCATAAAAAAAAGCACTGCGTTTCATTCATATGTCTGATAAAATTTCTGTTCGAACAAAACTGAGTTTTTCTATTATTCAATGTCTACCAACTTTTTCGTTTTATTGGATGCAATATACAAAACGGTCATGACAAAATTTGTAATTGAATCAGTCGAATGACAATAACATATATATTAAATAAAAATACAAAAACACTTTGATCATTTCTTATCAACAAAACAATTCATATCAAAATATCATAGGAGATATCAATTACACATACGTATTTACCGATGACAACAGTATTTCAAATCGCATTTTTGATAGAAAATGTGCAGTTTGTGATTCAAAGAATGTTATGAAGATAGATATGAATAACACAACAATAGACACTTGTCATATAATTAGAAGTTGACAACGAAAAAACAATGTATTCATATATCGTTTGTATTTTTCTCAATACTTATCACATTCTCTAGTTGAGAATATTATTTTGAAGTATACAAATTGTCCAGTTATAGTTCCCATGTTTACATTATTGAGCCAATACAGAATATTATTAAATAGAAAATTAAAATAAACAATTCATAAACTATATATTCAATATCAAAAATACAATTCGCAATATTTCTGTCTTTGGTAGTTTATATAAATATTTTGTAATAAACTTCTTCACCAGTAGCAACTATTTCTCAGTGAAGAAGCAAATTAAAAATACATAGTAATATAATCTTAGTTATTCAGAAGTTTGTCAAGCTGAACAATTTATTACAGCATATTTTTCAAAAAATAATATTCTTTATCTAACGAATGCAACATAAAAAAAAGTGTTCATTAAATTGCTAATCTCTTTTGTTTTTATTCCAACTTTCATAATATTATAAATGTGAGAGAAAGAGGATAGTTCTGTTTTGTGAAATAAAACAATTAGTAAAAATAATTGAAGCGAGCTTATGAGTTATGTAAAAAAACTAAAAGAAAAAAGAATTTTAAAGTTTATTTGTAGGCAAAATAAATATTAGTCTTTGTAATTATGTGTATACAGCATTGACACATCGTCGGCATTTTCCACAACATTTTTGATAAATGCTGCAATCCCTATCGGTTTTACATTTGTGGACGCAGAAAGTAGGTTTTCCAATGACGATAGGTGTGTATAATACTGGTGGACAACAACCTCGATGTTCATATGGACAACAATAAGCTCTATCGCATTGATTATATTTACATGTACCACCTAATGCTTCACATCTTCTACTTCCTTGTCCACAGGGAACATTTAGGATTGGTGAACCATATTTGCATGGATTGCATCCAGTTGCTGTTGGATGCAGAAAACAGTAAATGCATCGATCAATGACAATTGGAGGTTTTGGAGTTGGTAGTACTATAACACGTGATTTATCAATGTCAGTGGAATCAACTTGAACTGTATATAAAGCAACAATAGCTAAAATTGCTAGTAATAATTGTAACATTAACTTTTTCATGATCCTTTGATAATATCAAACTCGAATAATATGATGTAAAATATAACTTATTTTGTACAATTGATGAGATTTATATAGTATCGTAGTGATTGACAAAACATGACTTTAACTAAAGAAAAAAAACTAAGATAATGTAGGCGATATCATATCTTTTTTTGAATCATATTTATCGATTTTTGCCAGTATCGTAGTTTAGCCTTGAAATAAAATATTCATGTAAGTATAGAATATATTGTTATACAAAACATGACTATAATTACGCATGTAGTTTTTTGGTTTTTGTCTTTCGTTGACGTTATTAAAGACTAAATGGATTTTGCGCATCGTCGTTACACATGAATGAGCAAGCTCGTTAGCTTTCTAGATGCATCATTTATCGATACTAGATAAAGGAGTCAATAATAGATATATACGTTAATATCAAAATACTACCATGAGAATCTTTTCTGAAATATTCAGTAGGATTAAATTGTTCGTTTGATTGGAAGACTTATGAGCAGTTAAATTGAAAATAGATTATATAAGTTTATTAAGTTATCTCTCGAAATTTGAGCATCGATTATAGTATAATATGATCATTATCAACAAAACGAATGACGAACAATGAAGAAAAGATTAAAAAAAAGGATTCAAAACTACATATACTACTTTATTTATGTTTAGAAAGAGTTTGAAATATTACATTAAAATATTATAGAACTTTTTTCTCTTGTTTTCTGCTATTATATTGATGAAAACAAATAGATCTGTTGGTAAAATCATACATCGTTGTACGTAAACAACTTTGACTATCATTTAAGTGATCCGTAAAATATTTAAATGATCAGCCGTTAAAATAGTTAGCTTTGTTAATGTATTTGCAATCAGTCAAATAAACTAGATTAAAATTGAAATATTTTCGGGTGTAACTCACATAAATAATACATATTTTGCAAAAGAAATCATAGAAGGTATTGAAATATTGCAATTGTCCGATTCTTCAACTGTATTCAGATTACTATCAACATTACTTACGAAGTGGAAAATAAATAATAAGCAAAAAAATCAATCACTACTAGACTTTTTGAATTATTTTGACAATTAATGCAAAAAATCAAATGATGGTTAGTATGAAAGTATAAACTTTTGCGTATCATATACAAATAACTACCTAGAACCAACGAATAAAACAATCAAAGATGATGGAACGTTTAGAGAACGTCATATTCTATCAAAATTTTTAACAATAGCTTCAAATATTGTTAATTATTGGTCAAGTCAACGAGATGATACCTAAACTAATCAAAAATATATGCTAGAAAACTAACAATATCTTTAGAATTATGAACATTATCGTATCAATGGGTTAAATCAACAAAAAATATTATTTGTATTTTGAATGATTCTACAAAAAGATATTACAGACTAGCTTGTGATCTACAATCGATTATTTAAGCTAATTGAAGTACATATAAAAATAAAAAGTAAACCACTTTTAATCAATTCAATAAGTCATGTGGTATTTGATGTGTGAGAGTGGAAAATGATAAAGATTGAAAAAAATAAAAAATGCAACTGTCCAGGTTTTTTTTTTGAACAATTATATATGCAAATACACTGTTGATATATTTATTCGTTTGAAGTATTGCAAACTATCATCAGCAGCCAAAACAATGTCGATCGAGAGGAAAAGAAAAAGAAATAGACTATCAAAGGCTTAATCGGCTTTGGTAGTACAAGAATTGAACTTTCATTTTCTTTTTTCCACTCATTTGTTGAAGTGCTTTTCTTATACTAAATTAACCTTAATACGAATAAAACATTTTTCGTTTGCTGATAGAGTCTTCATTTTTAGGGTGAGTGTGGGTGTGGCTGTAGGAGTAAGTGAATGTGAGAAGAGAAGACCCTTACACACCAGATGACACCCATATCCATTATGAAAGAGATTATTGATAGATTTAAATTATTCGTTTATTGAGTGAATATAAACAATATAAAATTACCAATTTCTTATCAATGTTTTGATTGTGTATGTGTTATATTTGAAGAAAATTTTTGTTGCGATCTTCCATGTGATTTGTTAAATGAACTCGTTTGTTTTTATGTGTTCTATTCGAATACAAACGTACTTGATTCATTCATTGATTTTTTTTAATAAAATTTTTATCATACAAGTTTAATGCTTTCTATAATTAACATTATAATTTTCAATTAAAATACATTTTGAATCATATGTTTGCTGCTAATAGAAAATAAACAAGAACAAAATACAATTTGTTTTTAAATTTGTATTTCAAAAATGTTCTTGTACTGCTTATTAAAAATTTTATTTGAATATTCGCTGTTTATCTTTTACTATTTTTATTTCAAAATTCATTCATATCTATTGAAAGACAACACGTACCGTTGTTCTCTGATTCTTACTCTACCTCTACGACTTAAATGTAAAACACTTTCGATCGATCTAAATCAATCATGATAGTTTTACATTGATGATTTAAATAATATTTTACTTTACACGATGTTATAGATTGCAAATTAAGTTATTTTTTGCCTTAAGTTGATTATAAAACCATTCAATAATTGTATGGTTAGTGTATAGAATCACGAAATAAATATTTATGTTTGAGTTTCAGAGAATTATTTATATAAAACATCAATATCGACTCCCTATCCGTTTGAGTGTTAAAGAATAAATGAATAAAATTGTTTTTATTTATTTTTTCAACGCTTTCGTCTTTGATATATTGATTAAATTGTGCTCTTCATTGTCTTGTACAATATCTTATTAATTCTTTATCGATTTACAAATATATACTGACATATTCTGTTTTCGCTTAATGTATCAATAATCTAACCGCTCAGATATTAATATCAAGTAAAAATTTTGCAAAATTCAAGTTAATTACGATATCGTATGGTGAATTGAAAAGTAGGGATGCAACAAACCCGAAAATTTGGAGTTTGATATGAGGGGGTTTGGATTCGAATTTAGATTTGAATTTGGGGACATAATTTTTCAGTAGTGTAATCTTCTTAGTTCTGTAAAGTTTTTATCATTTGTTTACAACTTCAAGTATCAAACTAGATTTTATGTTTGCTTAGTCTATTATAAAACTGTTTGAGCGGGATGTTCTTTCATTGTATTCGGTTCGTATATGTCTTAGCAGTTCCATAGTGCCATAGGTTTCTAATGCATATTCATTTGTTAAACGACTCTAATCAAGTTGCTGGTCAGAGAAATATTATATTCTATTTCATTCAACGCTCTTTTAGATATACGATACACCATCATTTTATCTCTTTTTAAGTATACAGATCGACTGCTAAAATTGTACATTATCAAGAACAAAAAATTTACGCATTACAAAGTATCATTTATTGATATCAACCAATATTTAATTCTTATATACTGTGTTCATCTATTGTACATCGTCTTTACTATGTTGTGTTATGGTTCTAAGAGTTATTCATTTACTTTCTTTTTGACAGCTTAGTCATTCAAGACTGCTCTCTGAAGAAACAATCAGTGCTCACGATGTCGGAGAGAATGAGTTAGGCTAGCCACTAATTTTTCGGACTTGTCTGGGAAATCTGGCAGACCGCCTGGTTTTCGCTAGAATCTGACAGAAAATCAGCAGTTTTCACAAAACCTGTGAGAAAGTGTGCTGTTTTCAGCGAAATCTCTCAATTTGTTTGTGATTTTAGCTGAATTTTGCCAGACAATCTATGATAAACTTCTCAACAAGTGTCTGCGACAAAATTCAGTAACGTTTGCCAAATCTTCAGCCCCTCCCACTTTTCAAAACTATCGAAAGGCTTGGAAACAATACTAGTAATAATTGCAACGGTTAATGTACTAGTGCATGTGGTGGTTAATTGTGGTATTTTAAAAAGACGATTTCAATATATCGAAAGAATCTTGAGAATACTCAGCAATGTAGCAAAGACGACGTAAACTAGATGAACACAGTATATAAGAACTAAATATTTGTTTATATCAATAAGTGATACTTTGTAATATGCTGGTCAAAAAATTACACTTTTTGTTTCATTGTAATCACATATTTTGAATTCATACTCTTTCTGCATAATCTAGCTCTTCATCTTCAATTACAAAAGTTGTTCGAGACGAAACCTAGTCATTCCTACAATTCAAAAATGATTAACAACAAACTTTAGCGTACATATTTGCAGTCCATCCTATTGAGAAAAAGCACTTTTATAGACTCTAGGCGAATGTGTAAAATTCTTGAACTATAATAAGTACAGAGATCGATCTTTCACCATGTAGTAGAGCATCTTCTGAATTTTCTTTTACATATTTAAAACTGATGAGTCACTATAAAATTTAAGATAACTACCTGCACATCGTTCAAAGATCGATAATGAACATTACCTGAAAAGTATATTTTTCTCATCTTCTATCAATGAATCGATAGAGTACTCCAAGCTCTACATAGTAATGAAAATCACAGGTTTCTATCTCACCTTATTCTCGAGTTATTCAAAAAATACTCACACGCACGAATTTTTCGTATGGACTATAGTATACTTTCATAGCAAGAACTTTTCAGATTGCTAAACTTATACCGATCGATAAGAGCTATTTAATAATAACTTCATTGTAGTGAATGGGCTACTTGAAGAATGCTCAATACATATCTCAACAAATCCAAACCTATGCTCAAACCTGGATTACAAATCCAAATTTATCTCAAGATTTGTTGCATCCCTATGAAAAAGTAACATTTGTCTTCTCAAAAAAGACGGAAAAATTTCAAAGATTCGAAGTACAATATGCAAATAAAAATATGATATGAAATATATAAGATATTCAAAGAATTTTCCGACACTTCTAGTTAAGAAAAGTTTCAATATTTAATGAGGTATCATTATTGTTGTCTGTGAATCAGATCCATAGTATCTAATCTAGGGATATTATGAATACCATTCGATGACTATTCATCGAACAAAGTTCTTTATTCTAGATAACTAATGATCAACAAACATGTATGAAA